CCCTTCAGTATTAGCTGTTGCTGTGAAGATTCCTTTTCTTTCCCATTTATATTATGTTGCACTCAGTCTGCATGTTGAATTAAGTGTAAAATAGATACCATCCCTGCTCTTCGGCTTCGTAATTTCATTAGATTAGGTTAGAATTGGTCCTTTTGATGGGGCTCCTGGCTGGCTCAGTCAGTCAGTTGAGCATTGGACTCTTGATCTCAGGGTTGAGTTTGAGCCCCACATAGGGCATAGAGATTACTTGATAAAAAGAATAGAATTGGTCCTTTTGTATCTTTGATACACAGTTGACCCCACTCTTTCCTTGTGTTAACACTAAGGTTGCATTCCCCATCCTTTAATTAATTTGATCATTAGATTTTATATGAAGTGTGCAGATTTAAAGTGGGGAAAAAACCCCCGGGAAATTAATCAGATGTTTAGAATTAATTGTTGCATTTTTTAAAATTCACTTTTTGTTGTCTATATGATATTTTGCCCATATAATTACAGTCACTTCTCTTACGGTTTTTGCTGACTTAACTATTAACTTTACTCTTTTTTTTTTTTAAGATTTATTTATTTATTTGAGAGAGAGTGAGAGAGAGCATGAGAGGGGAGAGGGTCAGAGGGAGAAGCAGACTCCCCACTGAGCAGGGAGCCCGATGTGGGACTTGATCCCGGGACTCCAGGATCATGACCTGAGCCGAAGGCAGTCGCTTAACCAACTGAGCCACCCAGGCACCCTTTGGGAGATTGGATTAAGTTGGACAGAACAGTAAAAATTTGTGGCTATTTGGCTGACAGCAGCCGAAGAAATAATGTTAATGAAAGTGCCTTATAAAACATGAAATGCTGTATAAACAGCAACTTTTTAAAAGAAATAACAACTTGTTAAAAAAGTTTAATCACATTTATTGAGTACTTACTAAGTGGTTACAAAGATATATAAAGACAGGAAAATTCCTAACCCAGTCTGTTTTCATTTTTATTTTTTTATTTTTATTATTTTTTTAAAGATTTTATTTGAGACAGAGCATGAGCAGGGGAAGAGGCAGAGGGAGAGGGAGAAGCAGGCTCCCCGCTGAGCCAGGCCCCCCCCCCCCCCCCCCGCAGTGCGTGGCTCAATCCCAGGACCCTGGGATCATGACCTGAGCCAAAGGCATACACTTAACCATCTGAGCCACCCAGGCGCCCCTGTTTTCATTTTTTAAAAGAAGCTTTTTGAGATATAATTCACACACCATAAAATTCACTTTTAAAGTGTACAATTCAGTGGTTTTTAGTATATTTACAGAGTTTTGCAACCATCACCACTCTTCTAATTTTAGAAGACAAATGGCAGTTTTTAATAAGCATTTTGTCTTTCCTGATTTTTGGCTTTATCTCAAAGCTTAATTTTCTTCTGCTTTCCCCACACACTTAAGAGCAAGATTGTATGGTGCCCATTCTCTTCTGTAATTATTCATCAATTAGGAAGCAGATGGTATTAGCTTCCGTCTCTGAAAACAGTGCCGAATGATGTGACTCCTGTGAGAATAGATGCAAAAGTCACAAATAGTTTAATAGCTTACAGTGTCTTTGAACAAATAAAATTGTTCTGGAGGAATCGTTTAATATTGCACAAATGTGGGACTAGGAAAGAAGTATTCCAAGGAACCACCAGGTTTGTTGAAATAACAAATTCCAGGTTTAAAATCTAGTTGTGTCACACCTACCTACCACCTTCTCAAATATAAAAAGTAAGTTGGTTTTAGAGCCATTTTGTGTCCTTTTCCTCCAGACAGTGGGTAGGTTTTTTAGGGTTGTTTTTGTTTTATTTTTTAAATTTTTTAAACAGCGGGTCTGTAGATTCTGTGAAAATACTTTCCTTAATTTCTGGGCTCCCCAAAGCACAAAATGGTTAAAACACCAACCACTGCTTAACTGGGTTGCTGTAAACAAAGCCCAAAATGAAACCCCTGTGTATTTGCTGCAGATTCCCAGGTGCCTCTCAAATGCAGGAATAAGCGCAGAAAAGGTTTAATAGGTTTAAGTGATCCATTGAAAGATTCATACACTACTTGTGTGTTGCATCAGGTGAATGCCTTGCACCTTACTGCATTTAGCACTGCCTAGAAAAGCATGGACCCTAGGATTTACTTCCTCTCAGACATTGAAGCAGAATTGTATCAGGACGAACATAAGGTCTCAGAGCTGCATAAAGGATTGTCAATCAGAAGATATCAGGCGATTTCCCCTGATATCTAAAAAAAATATTACTCAATCTGAAGACTGGGATGTCTTGTGGGGACTGTTGGGTAAATTTTGTGGAGATCCCCACCAAGAAAAAAATCATAATTGAAGATGAACACTTGATTCACAATAGCTGCTTATAAAATGGAAGGCCTCAGTATTTAGCTGTAACCCTAGCATTCCTTAAAAGCTTGCTAGTGTAATAACTAGCACAAACTGTGTTTCTTGGTCAAATCCAACCTCATTGAAGATAGTTCCTATCTTGGAGATGACCCGAATGCTGTATGGTTTTGATGGTATGTTTATTTGTGGAGAGGGGAGGGGATTGTAAGTGGAGAGAGAGGAATCTATCTGTTGTAATAGGATTTGGTCTGTGTATTAATGGAATGAACTGGCCTTTCTTGCTGTACTTCCTTTGTCCTTGCTGAGAAGGGAGGCTGAAGTTTCCTAGAGCTATTGATGAAGCTGGCGACTGTAAGAGGAAGTGTGGACTTTTGACCTTGATGGTAATGGAGAATGTTAGGGGAGTTTGGAGAGCCCACAGGTTAGTTGTGAGGACTGGAAAGAGTAACATTTTTGCCTCAAAACAGGAATACAGTCATTTTCTTCAGGACACTTTTTTCTAAGATTTTATTTATTTGACAGAGCAAGAGAGCACAAGCAGGGAGAACAGGAGAAGGAGAAGCAGGCTCCCCATTGAGCAGGGAGCCCAATACAGGACTCAATCCCAGGACCCTGGGATCATGAACCCCCAGACGCTTAACCAACTGAGCCACCCAGACACCCCAGGACATTTTCTTTTCATTTATCATTTGGGTTTGTTGTTTGGGGAAAAACTATCTCATTTCACAGGCCTTACTTACTATACCTCTTCCTACTATATAGAGTATCTTCCTCATTTTTTCTCTCAAAAAAATCAAATTCCTAAGTGCTCCATTTAACAAAAATAATCAACTAGGAATATTTTGTTTTCTTGTTTGAACAATTCTTAAATTGAAATAACTGTTTAGGCTTAATTATTGAAATGCATCAGTGGCCTTCTGCCCCGCCCCATCTCCCTTCTTTGCCTGCCTCCCTCACCAACAAAAACATTAAAGAACACTTGATAAACAATAGCCCGTTTAAAAGGAAAGCTTCAGTGTTTAGCTAATTGTTTGCTCATAAAACATTTTCTTAAAAATAAATCATAAATCCTCTGTCCATATTTCAGAATCCCTCAAACTCAGACACACACACACAGCCTGGATATTAGATTATTTCTGTGAATTGCTTTTATAAATACTTGCTCTGGTATACTAACCAGAATTGAGATGGAATGGGATCAGATAGATCATCCAAAGACATACCAAAGTTTTTGTTTTACTCCTATATTTCATTGTGTTTCTAAAAGACCTTTAAAAGTGGGTGTTCTATGGTTATGACTCCTAAAACTATGGGCACCAATCTGATTGGTATTAATAATTTTCTCTTACTGATGCTGTATGTGATGCTTTTGTGATGATTTGTATTTGGACTCTTAACACCCACTGGGGTTTAGTTTCTATATTCATTGCCTTTTTAGTCCCTCTCTTAGGGGATACCATAAAAGAACACCAGATGTTCCGGTGAAACTGGCCCTTGGTTTGGATATTCTTTTTTTTAAGATTTTTTATTTATTTTTGACAGAGAGAGAGTGTACAAGCAGGGGAAGCAGCAGCAGAGGGAGAGGGAGAAGCAGGCTCCCTGCTCAGCAGGGAGCCCGATGCGGGGCTGGATCCCAGGACCCTGGGATCATGACCTGAGCCGAAGGCAGGTGCTTAACCGTCTGAGCCACCCAGGCTCCCCTGGTTTGGATATTCTAAATTTCTTCTAAGATGGTTATTTACTGCCAGCTACATTTTTGTTTGCTACATGTAGCTCTAGAGTTGTGTCTTCCTTGCTTGATGTTGAGATTTTTTTTTTTTATCATGAAAATCATAATTTATCTCACCCTACATTTCTTGGACATCTGCCTCTCACTATTTATTACTGCTCTCAGGCACAGGGCTTCATAGAAGAGCTCCAGAAACTTCTGTAACAGCTGAACTAGACCAATGGTCAAGAAATATGAGCTTGTTTTTAATTCATTTTAATGATTTACAAAATTATTATTCTTAAATCCTGACCCTGGATTTTTGTTAATTTTACATCCTGCTTTCAGTAGTTTTAATTCATAGTCAACTTGCTGGCTTAGAACTTCCCATTTATCACGGAAGAAATCCCCTCTAACTTCCCATAGGGCAAAGTATTGTGGATTGATGCATATTGAGCTACTTGTGTTCTTAGTATCAAATAGTGGTCATGGTAAATGCTCAGAACTTCCCCAGCGGGGAATCATATCCATGCAAAGGTGCAAAATAGAAGGGGGGGGTGCCTTATCTTAAATTTTAGGATGTGTCCTTCATTGTGTATGATTCCATCATTTTATAGTGGGGAGAGTTTGTTATAATTTCTACTTAAAAAGTTGATTTCTAAAAAATGCCTCCCTCCCCTCATTTTTGGAATGAGTGTTGCCAGTGGAGTAGAAGGAGGTGTGGTAGAGGCCTTGTTAAATAACTGAGCTATTCCTTGTGTTTTTATGCACTTGCCATGCTAGTGCCAAGAATGGCGGTATTTCCGGGAGGTCTTCCCCAGAGCCCTCCTGTCTGGCTTGGTCATGTAATAGCAAGTTGCTGGGGGTGGGGTGGAGCAGAGAACTCTCCTTTTAATGGTTCCCTGTTACAGCCCTAAACAAAGCTGTGTCAATTCCCTTGGCTTTACAGACTATTGCCCAGAAGAAAAGATGTTTGGTTTTCACAAGCCAAAGATGTACCGAAGTATAGAGGGCTGCTGTATTTGCAGAGCGAAGTCCTCCAGTTCTCGATTCACTGACAGTAAACGCTATGAAAAGGACTTCCAGAGCTGTTTTGGGTAAGATCATCTGATGTTTTTTTACCATTCTTAGAGTGAAAAAGATCACAGCTTATGGAAATATTTCCAAGCAAGGCAGGCAATTGGAGTGACGTGCTAATAAATTAAAATCACTTGCATTCTCATCTAGGCTATTTTAAGGCTCTTGCTTTGAAAACGAACCAAACAGTACTGATTACTTAACCCTTTTCCAGATTATAAGGAACTACTGTACTGTATCGGAAGCCTCTTAGTTATACCAAACTCTTTTGTTTTTAACTTCAAGATATATAGAGACTTTACTCTTACTCTCTCTTAATAGTCGTTGTCTTCCGATAGTTTTCTATTCTTTGCTTTGTTTTTCTAAATTATGGAAATGTATTTTAACTCAGCCTCCTGAGGATAATAACAGGACTTAATGTTCTGCCCTGAAGTCTGTCAGGATATGTTTCATTTTATAATTTTGTTCTTCACTTATCTTTTTTTTTTTTTAAGATTTCTTTATTTTGGGGGGGGAAGAGAGAGAATCAAGCAGACTCCCCACTGAGTGCAGGCAGTAGGTGGGGCTCCATCCCAGGACCCTGAGATCATGATCTGAGCTGAAATCAAGAGTTGGACGCTTAACTGACAGAGCCATCCAGGTGCCCCTCATTTATCTTTTGACAATAAACCTCTGGTTAGTAGAATGGAATTTACTTTCTGACAAACACTTGGGTAGAATACTTAGTGTTGAACCATTTCCCAAGTTATTTTTACCACCTTTTTTAAATCAAAATACCTGGTGATTGTTTATTAATCCTGGATTTTGTAATTATTTTGAAGGTTGTCAAAGAATTTCCCCTGACCTTCCCTTTTTAAATTACATTTTTCTTTTAATGTTTCCAGTGGTATACATGATAAAAGTTACCAGTATTTTTCTGTATGTATTTGTAATACAGGAAAAATGTATTAAATCTGTTTCTCAAAGATAAAATTTAAAAAAGAGCTTGGTGACTAGTCCTATAGATTTTTACCCCTGTGCAGATGCAATCATTTTGAAAAAATTACAGTGCCTCTCCAGTTAACGTGTCTTGTAAAACTAGAATATCATGATACATTATTTTACTTAAAAGGTGACATTTTGTTTGTGGAAGTACCTACACACTTCAAAAAGATTAATTGGACTACATTGTTTGAAACCATGGTGACGAGGATCTTCTCTAGGTCTTAAATTTTACTATTATTTAATTTTAAAAACATTATTTTAGGATGACCAAATTGCAGTACATAAAATTGGTTCATTGGATCAAGGATTTAATAAAAAGTACCACAGAAACAATGGAACTGGGTCATCCAGGACAATTAGAAATAGCATCTATAAACTATAATCGGGTGTATTTTTTTCTAAAAGAAATGTAATTGCATGAATTCTTTTTTTCCCCCTAACATTTTATTTTTATGTAAAGTCTACACCCAACATGGGGCTCAAACTTAAAACCCCCAGAGCAGGAGTTGCATGCTCTACCAACTGAGCCGGCCAGTGCCCCTGCATGAATTCTTTAATGTAAATGAGACTAATAAAGGTTTGATTGTTTTCTTATCAGGTTGCATGAGACCCGTTCTGGAGACATCTGTAACGCCTGTGTCCTGCTTGTGAAAAGATGGAAGAAATTGCCAGCAGGATCAAAAAAAAACTGGAATCATGTTAGTTCATCTTTTGTCTTTGTTAGTTATACCTCTTTTACATTTAAAGTAACTTCAGTTTTCCCCCTAATTTAGGAAGTAGTACATCCCTCAGATGGAAAAGTGGAAAAAAAATAAACGGTTACTGCTCAGATATAATTACTTAACATTTTGGCATGTTTAGAAGCAAAATAGCTTGGTGTAACATTTCCCTAAGGCTGTATCCAATATCCTCATTTTGGAGATTCACAGTGTACATTCACATATTTTTAGGTTTAACACACATTCCTCCAGTTAATTAGACATGGATCCTTTTTTCATCTCTTAGGATAACATTTATCCTAACTCACTGTGGTACCATCATGAGCGCATGGGGTTTAGAATCAACTGGATTTCAATCCTGCTGTTACCACTTAGTAATTGTGAACTTTGGGCAAGTTACATTTACTTATAAAGTGCAAGGATAATAGCTATCTCATAGCTCTTTTGAGAACTGAATGAGATTATATATGTAAAGTCTAACACATAGTGATCAATTATGTGGAAGCTATTCTTATTCTCTATATTTAAATCTGGTTGAGGTTATACTGGTATGTAAATGTGTGTTCTACTTGCTCATGGTCACTGGTTTTCAATGACCAAAACAACACTGTTAAGTCTTACTTAATTCTTTTGTATGCTAGCTTTTAGAACGTTTATGGCATTTATACAGAATACTTGTTTTTAAGCAGGCAGACATTTATTCTTTATCTTTTCTCCTTTTTTTTTTAAAGATTTTATTTATTTGGCAGAGAGAGACACAGCGAAAGCAGGAACACAACAGGGGGATTGGGAGAGGGAGAAGTAGGGAGTCCGATGCGGGGCTTGATCCCAGGACCCTGGGATCATGATCTGAGCTGAAGAAAGACACTTAACGACTAAGCCATCCAGGCGCCCCTCTTTATCTTTTTTCCTAACAGTAGCCTTACATTGTTGTTTGGTGACCATGTTACATTATTATAGGTTTTTGTGGGTCTTATGACTTATAAAAAAGTTATTTAAAAAGTGAGTTTTCTCTTAATAATAGCTTATCTAGAGACAATCCAAATTGTGATTTTTGAAGGTGATGGCAACCTTTTTATGGGTGGAAATGTGCAAATAGTAAAGGTGAATGAATTCATGAGAAGTGGTACCAGGCAGGGCTGGACCAGTGCCATGCTAGGCAGTGAGAGAACATAGCATTGCCATGTAAATGACCTCAGGGATAAAAGCGTATAGTGAAAAGAGCGTAAAGCGTAGGTGTGAAAACCTTGATTTGGTCTTGTACCCCTTTCTACCCATTCTCGCCCATTTACTATCTTAGTGAAATAAAGCAAAAGAGAATTTCTCTTGTTTTTCTTCACCCTAAATTGGAGTAACAAAAATAGTCCCCTTACTACTTTGTAGTGAAGGTAAAATCAAAAGTGTATGAAAGCTTTTTGTAAACCTTAAAACACTGTCTTGTAGAAATGTTAGTTGTTGTTAGGCTTGATTTTCTTTAACCTCTTTGGTCATTCTTACCATATATAAATCTACTTCAGTTTTTTATTTTTTAATTTTTTATTGTTATGTTAATCACCATGTATTACATCATTAGTTTTTTTTTTTTAATTTTTTTTTTGTTTATTTATTTGAGAGAGAGAGAATGAGAGATAGAGAGCACGAGAGGGAAGAGGGTCAGAGGGAGAAGCAGACTCCCCACTGAGCGGGGAGCCCGATGCGGGACTCGATCCCGGGACTCCAGGATCATGACCTGAGCCGAAGGCAGTCGCTTAACCAACTGAGCCACCCAGGCGCCCACATCATTAGTTTTTGATGTAGTGTTCCATGATTCATTGTTTGTGCATAACACCCAGTGCTCCATGCAGAATGTGCCCTCTTCAATACCCATCACCAGGCTAACCCATCCCCCTACCCTCCTCCCCTCTAGAACCCTCAGTTTTTCAGAGTCCATCGTCTCTCATGGTTCGTATCTACTTCAGTTTTTTGTACAGCACACAGTATTGCCTGCTTCAAAGGAAAAAAATACTAGATGAACTGTTTATTCTTTTTTTTTTTTTAAAGATTTTATTTATTTATTTGACAAAGACACAGCCACACAAGCAGAGGGAGTGGGAGAGGGAGAAGCAGGCTTCCCGCCGGAGCGGGGACCCGGATGCGGGGCTCGATCCCAGGACTGTTTATTCTTTAAAATCATGTGATGATTAAAAGTTCACGTGGAGGGGCGCCTGGGTGGCTCAGTCACTGAGCGTCTGCTTTCGGCTCAGGTCATGATCCTGGGGTCCTGGGATCGAGCCCCGCATCGGGCTCCCTGCTCGGCGGGAAGCCTGCTTCTCCCTCTCCCACTCCCTCTGCTTGTGTTCCCTCTCTTGCTGTGTCTCTCTCTGTCAAATAAATAAATAAGATCTTTAAAAAAAAAAAAGTTCATGTGGACTCTCACACACTCTGAGTAGAAAACTGGTTCTCAATTTTGGCTTCTTCAAATAGGCATTTATCTGAACCAAAGGAATACAAGAGGTGTCATTTTTTAAATGGTATTAAATATTCAGTATTTTCTTCCAGGTGGTAGATGCAAGGGCAGGACCCAGTCTGAAGACTACATTGAAACCAAAGAAAGTGAAAACTCTATCTGGAAACAGGATAAAAAGCAACCAGATCAGTAAACTACAGAAGGAATTTAAACGTCACAGTAAGTTTGATATTGAAATATGGGTACTTAAGAATAGTTGTTTGGTTTTTATTTTTGTCTGGGGGGGTGGCCTATGGTATGTATAGAGTTCTTAAATTTCTATTAAAAAAGTGAAGGCATTGTGTACTGTAGAGACATTTCTATGGACTCTTGAAACTCTAATTTTGATATCATCAAAGTGCTTTGACTAGCCACTTATTCAGATTGTGTGGAGACCCCTATGACCACTCTGATCTCTTTATTACCATCTGAAACTTTCTAGAAGATGCGGTTTTCAAGTTTGTTCACTTGTTTTTTATGCATAAAGAAATTGAGGTCTGGAGATGTGCAGAAAAGGTATGTAAATAATTAGTGGACAATATGAGACCAAAGCCCAGGTTTTCTGGAAAGTAACTTTAGAAATCATAACTCACATATTGCAGTAAAGCTAGCCTCAGGACTTTAGGTTTCTGGGGCAGTGTGTGTTGTGTGTGATGGAATGGGAAAGGAATGACAAGCTAGTATTAGGTTCATATACTCTTATTAAAGGAAGTTGTTGAAGGAGACAGCACCTGTAGTGGCACTTAAATATTTCGGAATTTAGAATTTCAGGGTTTGAAAAGGAAATGCAGTGCATATAATGTTATATGTAGCATTTGGATCAAGTGGGAGGGTTTCTAAGGCAGCACTACTGAATCAAACACATTAGTATTTCTTTTTTTTTTTAAAGATTTTATTTATTTATTTGAGAGAGAATGAGAGAGCACACGAGAGGGGGGAGGGTCAGAGAGAGAAGCAGACTCCCCGCCGAGCAGGGATCCCAATGCGGGACTTGATCCAGGGACTCGAGGATTATGACCCGAGCTAAAGGCAGCCACCCAACCAACTGAGCCACCCAGGGGCCCACATTAGTATTTCTGTAGCACAAATTTAGGAGTATTCACATAGGTGGAATAAATAAAACTTGCATGGGCTAGTCAGGTTTAACTACCCTAATTTTTTTTAAATAAGATTTTATTTTTATTTTATTTATTTGAGAGGGGGTGTGGAAGAGAATGAGACCGAGAGCACAAGCAGGGGGAGCAGCAGGCAGAGGGAAAAGCAGGTTCCCCACTGAGCAAGGAGCTCGATGTGGGATTCGATCCCAGGACGCTGGGATCATGACCTGAGCCGAAGGCAGATGCTTAAGCGACTGAGCCACCCAGGCATCCCTTAGCTACGCTAATTTTATAATTCAGGTCAGGCCAGATTTTGTGGCCGAACTTTCTGTTTTCAGAGCTTTTTCAAAATTGTAGGTAGGGGTTGTGGACCGGTAATAGAGTTTTCAGGATTAAAAGAACAATCTGTTGGACCCTGTAGGACAAATATAATAACAGTTTGTAGGACAAAATATTACCAGTCAATGCTTGTTTTAGAATAATGGTAAAAGATAGTTAAATATACTAAGAAGGTAGAGTGAGGAAAGGAGAACTATCATCTCTTGGGCATTTTGGTATATGTACCAAGCACTTTACATACATAACTATCTCAATAATTTGTTTTAGAGATTAGGATAGGAAGTAGAGTGGTGATTTAATCTTGACCCAGGTCACTTAGTAAAGGTGATAGAGATGAATTCGACCTCATGTTTGTCTTGACTTCAAAGCCCTGTGCTCCACCTGTAATAGCACCCTGCTCTCTGGGGTAGTATAATCAATACCCACGACTCTGAAATCTTTGCAGATCTTCTGCTAACTTTCTGCTCTTTTAAGTAGGTGTTACTAGTCCATGGTTATTCTGATGATATATTTAATCTCTGGCTAAAATATCTTAATACTTCAAAGTAAAATATTTAGGTAATATCAAATCTGTGTGTATTTTAATTATACGTGTTCTTTTTTATTTAAAAAATGTTTTTTCCCCCCAAGTTTTTAAATTCCAGTTAGTTAACATACAGTGTAATATTAGTTTCAGGAGTAGAATTTAGTGATTCATCACTTACATATAATACTCATCACAACACGTGCCCTCCTTAATATCCATTCCCCCATTTAGCCCATTCTCCCCCCGCCCGCCCTCCAGTAACCCCTAGTTTGTTCCCTATAGTTAAGAGTGTTTTCTGGTTTGCCAACCTCCTCCCGTTTATCTCTTATTTCTTACGTTCCACATATGAGTGAGATCATATGGTATTTGTCTTTCTCTGACTTACTTTGCTTAGCATAATACTCCCTAGCTCTATCCACACAACTGCAAACTTTTTGTGTAATATTTTTGCACGTGTGTGTGCACATATACATATATGCTCACCCCTCATCTTTGTTTATCTGTATAGATTGACACTTGGGTTCTTCCATACCTTGGCTATTGTAAATAATGCTTCAATAAACATAGGGGTGCATACATCTTTTCAAATTAGTGTTTTCATTTTCTTTGGGTAAATATTCAGTAGTGGAATTACTGGATCACATATTTCTATTTTTAGGTTTATTGAGGGAACCTCCATACTGTTTTCTACAGTGGTTGCACTGGTTTGCATTCCCAACAACAGTGCACAAAGGTTCCTTTTTCTTCACATCCTTGCCAACCCTTGTTATATTTTGTCCTTTTCTTTTTTTGGAAAAATGTCTATGAAGGTCCTCTGCCCATTTTGTAACTGGATTATTTGTTTACATGTGTTCCCTTCTTAATCAGCTATCACCTGGGGAATAGAAAAAGACTAATTCTGTCCTCTATTCCAACTAAGTTTTTTTTTTAATTTTATTTATTTATTTGACAGAGAGACAATGAGAGAGGGAACACAAGCAGGGGGGAGTGGGAGAGGGAGAAGCAGGCTTCCCGTGGAGCAGGGAGCCCGGTGCGGGGCTCGATCCCAGGACCCTGGGATCATGACCTGAGCCGAAGGCAGACGCTTAATGACTGAGCCACCCAGGCGCCTCTATTCCGACTAAGTTTTAATGAACATTTGGAAAATAGTAATTTTCTTCTACCGCTTGACGATTAGAGGAATTGATTATTCATATGTATAGTCTTAGCTCCTCCCTTTAATTATAGGGAAAGTGATACCTGACTCAGTTTTGCCTTACCTAAGGGAATATTTCCAGTGTAATTTTAGATTTTTATTATAAAGCTGTATTGTAGAGGGAGGGATTGGAGACTGAAAATAAGTCCCTTTGAAAAAGGTGTGTGGGCTTTGTAGGCTTAGACTGAAGCAGGGTTTTCCTGTGTGCATTGTGAATTGATAGCACCTGTGTGCAACACAACAGTTTTGAGTTACTTGAATTTTTATACATCACCCACTAAATGGTGTTCCCACCTCTGGTCATATATTTGCTTCCATGCATCCTGCGTGTACCTGACCTTTATTTCTCTTTCTGAGATACTCTTTCTTTTGTGTGATATACTGGAAAGGCATTAGACCTAGAGCTTAAAGATCTGGATTTGAGTTACTGTTCTTGAAACTTAACAAATATGTGACCCTCGTGGCACTGAACATTGAACCATATTTTTCTAATCTGAGAAATGGGGATAATCAGGTTAAAAAGGGTTTTGTAAAACAAAACAAATTCCTATATAAATGTTATTTTTTGTCATTTTTTTTTTTTAAGATTTTATTTATTTGACAGAGACACAACGAGAGAGGGAACACAAGCAGGGGGAGTGGGAGAGGGAGAAGCAGGCTTCCCGCCGAGCCCGGAGCCCGATGCAGGGCTCGATCCCAGGACCCTGGGATCATGACCTGAGCTGAAGGCAGACACTTAATGCCTGAGCCACCCAGGTGCCCCTGTCATCCTTCTTAAAATCTACAATGAATTCTGGTTGCTATGGAATAAAGTTGAAAATCCCTAGTGAGTCTTTTGGAGGTCCTATTTTAGGCAAAGAATATTTGGGCTGAGTCAGTTCCCTTCCTGTGCATGGTGTATTCTGCTTCCACTACTTTGCTTATCATCTCTACCTATTCCATGCTAGCTAATTACTCCTTTGTGCCTTTTCAAATTCCACGGTTTTTAAGATTTTAAAAATTGTAGTTCTTTGAAGAATTTCCAGGCCTGCATTCTAGAAGAGAATTTTCTTCCTTACTGCATTCTTACATAGTTAGTTGTATTCTAGTATCCCAAGTGTTAGATTAAACCATATGAAATTGCCATTTTTATAGGTAGAAAATGGTCTAATAAACTGCAGCTTCAGAATTGTTTCTTAGATGCTAAGCACTTCCTGTGATAATGAGTTTTCTTCAAAACCAGCATTGAGCTGATTGCTGCTGCTGCTGATTGTTGGGGAAGTCTTTTAAACATTCCAGTAGACTTATTTCTTAAAGCCTGCTATTCTTGAGGATTTTGTAGGTAAACTTTTTTTTTTTTTTAAGATTTTATTTATTTATTTGAGAGAAAGAATGAGAGAGAGAGAGCACATGAGAGGGGAGAGGGTCAGAGGGAGAAGCAGACTCCCTGCCGAGCAGGGAGCCCGATGCGGGACTCGATCCTGGGACTCCAGGATCATGACCTGAGCCGAAGGCAGTCGCTTAACCAACTGAGCCACCCAGGCGCCCCTGTAGGTAAACTTTTGTTAATACAAAGCACTATAAGCTCTCTTCATAGGGTTTTTTTTAGTCTGTTTCTTGCCATGTAGGATATGACATGGGGTTTGATATGTAATAGGTACGTCCTTACTAAATACTAATTGGGGGGCACCTGGGTGGCATGGTGGGTTTTGTGTCCTTTTGGGTTGTGATCTCTCAGGGTCAGGAGATGGGAGTCCCCATTTGGGCTCCATGCTCAGCGTGGAGTCTGCTTGACACCCTTTCTCCCTTTCCCCCGCCCCTCCCCCCACTTGCATGCGCTCTCTTTCTCTCAAATAAATAAATAAATCTTTAAAAAAAAAATTGGTTCCTGGGGCACCTGGGTGGCTCAGTCATTAAGCGTCTGCCTTCAGCTCAGGTCATGATCCCAGGGTCCTGGGATCGAGCCCCACATCGGACTCCCTGCTCGGCGGGAAGCCTACTTCTCCCTCTCCCACTCCCCCTGCTTGTGTTCTCTCTCTCTTGCTGTCTCTGTCAAATAAATAAATAAAATCTTTTAAAATAAAATAAATAATTGGTTCTTTTGAATTGGAGGATTGCTGTATCCACCTATCCTGGGAGGGGGGAGTGTGGTAAGCTTGACCCTTATTTGTGATATTGTTGTGACAGGAAAATAGCAGCATGAAAGCCTTAGAGCATGGTGACCATCAACCAAAACATTTATTTTCTGGCTTGTAAATTTGACTTGTCTTTTAAGGGCAAAAATACTAAATCATGTTTAGCTTGTATCTGATGAATTGCCTTATTCCTTTTGAAATCAAGATCTTACTATTTTTCCTTTATAGGTAAGGTATTGTTTTTCTTTGGCTTTTAAGATTTTTTCCTCTGTCTTTAGTTTTAAGAAATTTAGTTAATTAAAAAAAAAGATTTAGTTAATGGTGTGTCTTGGTATTGATTTCTTTGAGTATATCCTGTTTGGGGTTTGCTCAGCTTCTTGAATATATCGGTTTATGTCTCTTGCTAAATTTGGTGAGTTCTCAGCCATTCTATTTCTTTTTTTTTTTTTTTTTAAAGATTTTATTTATTTATTTGAGAGAGAGAATGAGAGATAGAGAGCACGAGAGGGAAGAGGGTCAGAGGGAGAAGCAGACTCCCTGCTGAGCAGGGAGCCCGATGTGGGACTCGATCCCGGGACTCCTGGATCATGACCTGAGCCGAAGGCAGTCGCTTAACCAACTGAGCCACCCAGGCGCCCTCTTTTTTTTTTCTTTTAAAGATTTTATTTATTTATTTGAGAGAGAGAATGAGAGCATGAGAGGGGGGAGGGTCAGAGGGAGAAGCAGACTCCCCGCTGAGCAGGGAGCCCGACGCGGGACTCAATCCAGGGACTCCAGGATCATGACCTGAGCCAAAGGCAGTCACCCAACCAACTGAGCCACCCAGGTGCCCCTCAGCCATTCTGTTTCTTTGAGTACATTTTCACCTCCACCCTCTCTCTCTTTCCAGGACTGCAGTGGCACAAATGCAGATTTTTTTTTGTTATAGTCCCAGAGGTCTCTAAGTCTCTTTTCAGTTGTTTTCTCTGTGGTGTTCGGGTTGGGTAATTTCTGTTGTTCTTTCTTCCAGTTCATTGATTATTTCCTCTGTCCCCTCCATTCTGCTGTTAAGCACATCCACTGAGCTTTTTATTTCATTTACTGTTTTTTTTTTCCCAGTTCAAATTTCAGTTCCACTTGGTTCTTCTTTATAGCTTTTATTTATTTTTTAAACTGAGATATATTCATGGAGACTCTTATTTGTTTCAGTTATGTTCGTGATGGTTCACTGGAGCGTTTTTGTCATAGTTGTGCTAAAATGTTGGTCAGTTAATTCTAACATCTCTGTCATCTTGGTGCTAATATCGGCTTACCTGTTCTTTCAGTTTGAGATCTTGGTTCTGGATGTTTTTTTTTTAAATTCTTTAATGAATGTATGTATGTATGTATGTATGTATGTATGTATGTATGTATGTATGTAAACTCTGCCCTGGGTGTGGAACTCGAACTCATGACCCCAAGATCAAGAGTCGAATGCTCTATCAACTGAGCTCTACCATATGTTCCCCTATAAGGGATTCTCTTTTTTTTTTTTATATGATTTTTTTATTTGAGGGAGAGTGCAAGGGAGGGGGAAGGACTGAGGTAGAGAAATCCTCAAGCAGACTGCCTGCTGAGCAGAGCTCTACATGGGGCTTGATCCCAGGACCCTGAAATCATGACCCTGAGCTGAAATGAAGAGTCAGACACTTAACCAATTGAGCCACCCAGGTACCCCTCTTTTTTTTTTTTAAAGTAGTCTCCATGCCCAGGGTGGAGTCCAAAGTGGGGCCCAAACCTACAGGCCCTGAGATCAAGACCTGAGTGGAAATCAAGAGTTGGGCCTTAAACCGGCAGAGCCACCCAGGTGCCCCTGAGGCATTTTTTTACATTGAAACCTGCGGAATTTAAGAAACAAAACAGAGAACATAGGGGAAGGGAAGGAAAAATAAAATCAGATGAAAATAGGAAGGGAGACAAACCATTAAGAGACTGTTAACTGTAGGAAACAAACTGAGGGTTGCAGGAGGGGAGGTGGGTGGGGGGATGGGGTAACTGGGTGATGGGCATCAAGGAGGGCACTTGATGTAATGAGCACTAGGTGTTGTATGCAACTGATGAACCACTGAACTCTACCTCTGAAACTAATAATACTGTATATGTTAATTAAATTGAATTTAAATAAAAAATCGAAACCTGGACATTTAAAAATTATGTTATGGATCTTCTTATTTAAACCTTTGATTTTAGTGGGGTTTTTTGGACACCCCTGTAGCAGAGATGTTAAAAGTTACTGCCCAGTGGTGTTAAAAGTCAGGTTCGTTCCCCCCTCAACCTCCATTGACACCTGAGGTGGGAGGAGCACCTCATTGCTATGGGATGGGGGTGGGAGTTAAAGCTCCCACATGGTGGGGATACTCATTCCTAGTGGGCCGTGGTGAAAGGCCTGACTCTTCAACAGGCTTCCTCTTGACACCCTGGTGGAGTTGAGGGTTTCATACCAATCTTAAAAGGATGGAAATCTTAGGCTCCCCACTTGGCCTATGCTGGGGTGGATGGGGTTGGGTCCCTTTTTTTTTTTTTTATGGTGCTTGAGTAGAGTGATTATTATCTAATAAAAGTTTTCTGTCTTGTTAGGGTACCACTTTCCTCCTGGCCTTTTGTTGAGAGCCGGGTTTTGTTGGCACTTTTTTTTTTTTTTTAATCTATACCCATTTGGCATTTCTGGGTTGCTGGCTTCTCTAGCTCCAAGACGGGGATTTATGAGGCAAAAAGAAAACCCATAAAAGCTAGGGAACTCACCACCATGTCTTTCCTTGGGTCAGGCTCTCTAACTCTTGCCAACTTTTAGAGTCTTTAAGATTGTTTTATATGTAATATCCAGGGTTTTTAGTTGTACTTATTTATTAGGAGGAGGAATGGGGAAAAAGTATGTCTATTCTTATCTTCATAGAAGCTTATGTCCTCATTTTCTTTTAGAAACACTTTAGTACAAATGTCTTCAAATACCAATAGTGAATAGAAAATAAATCCTTTTACTAATTCATTCACAGTTTTTTATGTTGAGCCTTAGTTGCATATAATGAAATTATACATTTCTTTTCTCTTTATTGCAGATTCTGATGCCCACAGTACCACCTCAAGTGCCTCCCCAGCTCAATCTCCTTGTTACAGTAACCAGTCAGATGATGGCTCAGATACAGAGATGGCCTCTGGCTCTAACAGAACGCCAGTTTTTTCCTTTTTAGATCTCACATACTGGAAAAGGTAAAAGCAGCAGAAAATATCTCTCTAACCAGCAAACCTTCTTAATTACAGGCAATGGTTTCACACTTCCTTAGCAATTAAATGGCATTTGGCAAACAGCTGGTAGCACACATGGTTGTAGGTGGATTAAGCAAGAATTGAGCTGAGAGTTGGGATTTTGTATACTCTTCCTATTAAAATTGATATAAAATAAAAATCATGTTAGGGAACCTAAATTTCCTATAATGGAGTAGACTAGGTATTCTGACCAGTTCTCTCACTGAAAAAAGTAAAAGGTAGAAATATATATTTTTAAGTCTTTAAAAATAGCATTGATAGGTGAGTAAATTAAAAAGGAATAATCAAAGACCAAAATGCTAAGTGAATGTGGGGCCCCCAAAGTCAAAAAAGAGAATAGACCAAGAAAGAGAATATTCAAAGAGAAATGATTAAGGGTTTTCTTTTTCACAGATTTGGGGAAGACTAACAAAAGTGAGATAATAATCATTTATCTTATAGTAGAGAAAATTCACCCATAGATGACTTGTTACAGTGAAACTGTGGAACATGAAAGACAAAATAGATCTTTAAGCAGTGGGAAAATAAAGACATTATTTTCAAAGGAACAACAAACATACAAAGCTGAGTTCTGAGCATGAACAAAGGAAGCCAAAAAACAATAGATTAATACTTTCAATGGACCAAGAGATAGAAATCCTCAACCTAGAATTATATATATGTAGCAAAAGTATCCTTTGGGGCGCCTGGCTGGCTCAGTTGGAAGAACGTGTGACTCTTGATCATGAGGTTGTTTGAGCCCCACATTGAGTGTAGAGATTACTTAAAATAAATAAACAAACTAAAAAAAATTATCTTTTATGAACAAGGGTATAAGACTTTTTGATTGGGGAAAAAAATTTGAGAACTTGCTGCCAAGCTGACCCTAAGTAACAAAGTTCTACAGGCAGAAAAAGAGATCCTAGATTAAAATTCTGAGGATAGTTAAAGTAGCAAACATTTAGGTGAATTTAAACAAACACTGACTCCTTGAAATAACAATAGTTGTGGGATAAAAAAAAGCGAATTACAAGACAGTAACATAAGTCTAGGCAATAATAGTGATAAGAGTTAAAGTATCCTAACATCCTTTGCATTGTTGAGAATGAATATATTGAATAACTTTGGGACTAGATTAACTATGTCACCACTAAAAGAATAAAAAAAAAAAGAGTGAAAACCTCCAGAGTTGAGAAGGGCCGGGCAGAAAATTTAAAAATATACCTAAATATACCTAGCAAAACAAGATGGAAATAGAAAACTTATATATATTTGTAAATTAAGAAACTGAGTCCAAAGAAGAAAATATAATATAAATGAGAAAACCTTTATAACTAAAGAACAACTGAAAAATACCACGAATCAGAACAAATGATAGGAAGTTTCAAAGAGTTGGAGGAAAAGTTAATGCATTCATTCATTCATTCATTGATTTATTGGACAGCGTGCACAAGAGAGAGCATGGAGCACGTGCACAAGCAGGGGGATGCACAAGCAGAGGGGAGTGAAAGAGGGAGAAGTAGGCTTCCCACTGAGCAGGGAATCTGATGTGGGTCTCCATCACAGGACCCTGAGGTCATGACCTGAGCTGAAGACAGACGCTTAACCGACTGAACCACTCAGGCGCCCCAAGTTAATGCCTTTAATGCTTAGAAAAGAATGACTAAAAGTAAATGAAGTGATATGTATCCAATTTAAAGATTAATGAAGCCCAATACAAAGAAAAATGAAAGCAAGGAGGTCTTAAAGATAAGAGTAGAAACAAATGGAGTAGAAAACCAGTATGCAGCGAATATGATCAGTAAAGATACGAATTAGATCTTGAAAAAGACCTGACCAAAAAAACTACTTAAAGATGAAGCAGATAAAGAAAAAAGAGAATACACATAAGCATCTTGGATAACGAAAGGGAGATTTAGCTATAAATAAACCAAATTTAAAAGACACACATTATAAACAACTGTATGCCAATAAATTGAACATATAGGTGAAGTGGATACATTAGTAGGAAAAGTTTACCTAAGTTGTCTCAAAAAATAGAAAAAAAATAGAAAACCTGTATAGTATAATAAGTTGATTCATTGGTCAAAGTCTTCCCTCCAAAACCCCAGACCCATTTAGGCGAGTTCTGCCAAACATTCTAGAAACAAATGATTCTGATCTTGCATTGGCTTTTTCAGATGATGAGTAAAAGAGAGTATAGACTCCAAGCATTCTATGAGGCTAACATAACTTTGATAGCAAAAGAGTATATCATGACCAGATTAGATTCATTCTAGGGATGTAAGATTGGTTTAAACATTAAAAATCAACTGATAGAAATTTGCCACATTGACAGTTTGTAAAGGAGGGGAAAAAATGCCTACTATCTTAGCAGTATTTTGAAGATGTTTGATAAATTTGAATGTTTCTTCAAAACTTAAAACCTTTAGTAAATAGGAGTACAAGGGAACCACATTGATAAATAATTGGCATTTTTGAATAAACATGAACATGTTTCCATTTTGTATCCCAGCAACCTAGAAAACGTTTAGGCATGCATTGATGCATATAGCATATTTGTAGTAGTGGAAGTTGTCCCAGTAAAAGGAGAGTGGATGAATGTATATTTACATGGTAGAATTCTATACATAAAATGAAATAAAGGCTCTGCTTAACAATAGCTATGGACCTCAATGTTGAGCAAAAAAATTGCAGCATAGAGTATGATTCCATATATGTGTTTCTTTTAAATAGGAGATAACCAAGCAATATCTGTTGAGATGCAGATGTGGTAAAACTATGAAGTGTAAAGAAAAAAAGTAGTGATAGGCTTAAAATTAAGGAGGAGAGAATGAGATGGGGTAGAGTGGGATTGGAGAAGGGCATACAGGGGTACTTCATAAAAAATGATTTTTTTTCCCCCGTAGAGTATGTGATCCATGGATATTTTGTTGTACTGTCATTTTTTATGCCTTTTTATGTATATTTGATTGTATATATATTTACCAGTTGTATCAGCCTGTTTATGATGGCGGTTTTTGTTTTTGTTTTTGTTTTTGTTTTTCCAAGAGTCAGTGATTTTTAGAAGAAACAGTTTACAATGTTAGGAGCAGCTTCTGAAACTGACTGCTCTCTCTCAGAATGACCCCTGCCCCCCTTAATATATGATAAGATTCCAGTGTGAGATTTAAGGGACCTGGGTATTTCCCATAACTTAGCTAATTGGGGATCTCTCTAGGAGCCTTTCATTTGGAATGCTTGCTCATGTGGTACTTAGTTATAAGGATGGAGATTTTTTCCCCCCTTTGTTTTCTTGTATTACTAGTTTTCTAGCTTATTAATCTGTTTCCCATTTTTTTCTTTTAGACAGAAAATATGTTGCGGGATTATCTATAAAGGCCGTTTTGGGGAAGTCCTCATTGACACGCATCTCTTCAAGCCTTGCTGCAGCAATAAGAAAACAGCTGCTGAGAAGCCGGAGGAGCAGGGCCCAGAGCCTCTGCCCATCTCCACTCAGGAGTGGTGACTGAGGTTTAGGTAGAAGGGGAACAAAAATGATTTAAATTTTGCAAAGAAAACAAAGCAACAAAACCCTCTTATTTTTAACTCTGATACCTGCTATTCTGCCAAAAGACAATTTCTAGAATAGTTTTGAATGGGTGGTTATTTCTCCTCCAGTTCCATAAACTCTGAAGCCAGTGTCTAGCTTACTAAAAGAAAAAAAGAAGTGTACATAATATTTAAGATGCTGAGTATTTCATAGGAAAGCTGAATGCTGCTGTAAAGTGCTCTTTAAGTCTTTTTTTTTTTTTTTTTAAATCCCCTTCTAATGAATGAAACTAGGGGAATTTCAGGGGACAGAGATGGGATTTGTTGTATGATAAACGTATGTAGTTTTAGTCTTTCTATATTGAGAAGCAGTGGTTGGGGCATTTTTTAAGATGGCTGGCTATACTTGTTTTCCTTCATGATAATAAATTTGTCATAACTCAGTAACATGGACTTGCCCCTAGAGGTAGTTGTTAATAATTTTGCAATAATAAGGTCTTGCCAAGGTTCTGATGATTCAAACCTGTACTACTGAATATGAAGCAGGACAGACTAAGCTCTCTGGTGCAAATACCTTGAAGGAGTAATTTCTAAATACACAGAGTGGTAACTTGACTGTATATGTTGCATCCTGTGTCACCTCCCTCCATATTGATATTTGATAAAGATTTTAATCTATATTGAAACTTCTAAAGCAGAATCAAAGCTCCTCTGGGGAAATGTCACATTTTAGGATGAGCAATCCTAAATGAATAGTACCAAAGCATTACCACATGGTAGAGATCACATTCTATTAAGAAGGTTAAATTATCTGAAAAAATGTGCAAGTCTTCAGGATGGCACACACAAATAAACAAAGGTTAATGCTTCTTGGGGCACATTTCTTAGAGGGCTTGCCTAGTGTGTAAATAATTGACTTTTGTTTGTGTTACAAGACTGGTGACTTCATTGAAAATCTGCACAATTCAGTTTTAGCTCTGGATTACTTCAGTTGACCTTTGTGAAGGTTTTATCTGTGTAGAGTGGTTGTTTGACTTGTTTTAATCTATTAGGGTTTTGGGTTTCTTTTCACTCTATTAAAGTAAAATTCTAAAAGAAAAGAGGTGTGTGTTAATGCTGAGTGGGTTGGTTTAGGTTTGGCTTCTTACGGTCAGGCTTTGTGAACCTTGAGATATTAGATGATAAATCCTGAACACAGAGCTCTTCAGTTCTAAAATCTTCATTTGAAAGCCTTTTACTTGAACCCAAACCAAAGTGCTCTCATTGCCTCTTTTCTAAACATTCAGGAAGAACATATCACCAGTTCAGACTTTTCATAATAAGGGAGGATCATTTGCCTTCCTTACACTAACATAACTCAGTGCTTATTTTTAAAACTGGATTTTTAAAATTGGATAGTATAAATAACAAGGAGTGAGCCACTTTCTATGGGCACCCTATAGTTTTATAGTTCTTAATCTAAACTTAAAATTTTATATTTCTTACGGCACAGACTACAAGCCACCATATGCACAGACTACTCAGTGAGTTGGGTTGGCTCTCCCACAGCCTTTGAGGTGTATTCCAAGAGTCCCAGCCATTACCATCTTCCTCCCGTTATTTTGAAATGGTTTTTTTTTTTTTTTGTACATTTTGGCTACAGTATTGGTGGTAGAATATACTATAATATGGATCATCTCTACTTCTGTATTTATTTATTTATTACTAGACCTCAACCACAGTCTTCTTTTTCCCCTTCCACCTCTTTGCCTGTAGGATGTACTGTATGTAGTCATGCACTTTGTATTAATATATTAGAAATCTACAAATCTGTTTTGTACTTTTTATACTGTTGGATACTTATAATCAAAACTTTTACTTAGGTTATTGAATAAATTTAGTCTTACTAGAAAATAAAAGAAGCTGTTTTGTGGCTTTCTTTAAAAGGTGTTCTTAGGTAAGAATAACTAACATTTTTGGCCTTTACAGATACTCAGTTTAACTCCCTAAGTTTTATAATAAGCCATGAAGGAAAAAAGTCCTCTAGAAATACTTTAAAATAAAAGACGTTTTAACAGACATGCCCAGGAACTAACCTTAGTAGATGAGATTTAATAATGAAGGACAAACTTTCTCCAGTGGTTGGTTGGTTGATTTCTTTTTTTCTTTTTTCTTTTCTGCTCTTCTGTTTTCTATTTTTATTATTTTTTTAAAAATGTCTCCAGTGTTTTAATGTCCATGATGTGATTTTATTGTTACTGTCTATTGGCATAATGGGAATCATCATTGAGACTTTAAAGAAATTATAAAAACTGGTTATAGGGAAAGGTGGATTTTGGCATTGGAGTCAGACGTGGTCTCTTAATTTCTGGCTCTGCCCTTTTATTAGCCATTTGAGTCACTTGTGAGCCTCCAAACTTCTGTAAAGTAATTAACAAAATTACTTCATAGAATTATGAGGAATCTAAAGGGGTGTAATCCATATCAAAGTTTTGTGGGTTTTTTTTTAAAGATTTTATTTATTTGACAGAGACAGTGAGAGAGGGAACATAAGCAGAGGGAGAGGGAGAAGCAGGCTTCCCGCTGAGCAGGGAGCCTGATGAGGGGCTCAATCTCAGGACCTTGGGATCACGACCCAAGCCGAAGGCAGGCGCTTAACGACTGAGCCACCCAGGCGCGCCTGTGGGTTTTGTTTTTGTGTTTTTTTTCTTAAAGATTTATTTGAGAGAGCACAGGTGCAGGTTGGGGGTGGGCAGAGAGAGAAGCAGACTCTTGCTGAGCAGGGAGCCCTACATGGGGCCCTGGGACTCCATCCCAGGATCCTGAGGTCATGAAGCTGAAGGTAGACACTCAACTGACTTGAGCCACCCAAGTGCCGCCATATCAAAGTTTTAGAAGTAGATTATTAGTTGGGAAAGGTGGATCCTGTGGGCCAAACTTTCTATGCTACAGCTAGGCCTTTTTTTTAAGATTTTATTTATTCCAGCGCCTAGGTGGCTCAGATGGTTAAGCGTATGCCTTCAGCTCAGGTCATGATCCCAGAATCCTGGGATCGGGTCCCGCATCGGGCTCCCTGCTCCTTGGGAGCCTGCTTCGCCCTCTGCCTCTCTCTCTCTCTCTCTCTCATGAATAAATAAAATCTTAAAAAAAATTATTTGAGAGCGCACAAGCAGGGGGGAGGGGCAGAGGGCGGGGGAAAAGAAGACTCACCGCTGAGACGGGAACCCCACGTGGGGCTCCATCCCAGGACCCTGAGATCATGACCCCAGCTGAAGGCAGACGCCTAACCATCTGAACCACCCAGGTGCCCCATACGGTTAGGGTTTAAATTTGGTTTGGGATAGTCCAGATGAGTTGCCAACACCTAATCCAGTTACTGTGAAGTTACCAAGTTAACCTGAAGTTAAGCTCAGGTTGTTGGCAGAAATCATTTCCTGTGGCTTTAGGATGGAGAGCCCAGATTCCTCACCTGGCTGTAGGGCTCCTGGGTGGTTCTGAGGTGGCTGCTTCCTGCATCATGCCGGTGGGTCTCCAGAGCCAGTTGGCTAGCAAGTCCGAGTCTCCTCATGTCCTGCCCACATTCAAATGAAGATTACACAATGAACACCCCCTACTGGGGTGTGGGGCTCATGAGGGACATCTTGGAGTGTTGTCTGCCACAGCACCTCATTTTCTTTTCTGACTGAATCACTTGAAATTGGGCCTCTTTGCCCTACATTACAAGTGCTTTCTGTAGCAAGTTAAAAAAACAAAAAACGCTCCCCTACTATGGGTCAGGCGCTTTTAAACATTGTTTAAACAACTGCAAAGTTAAACAACCAAAAACCTGTTCACGGGTTAAGTGGAGGTGCCAGGAGGTCTTTTGTAACTTAAATCGAATTCCCAGATTGCAAAGCCTTTCCTCACTGAATTGGCCCCTGTCCCTGCTCTAGCAGTGGTACTGTCTTAACCTGCATTTGGAGGTGGTTACCTTGCTCTGTTTTGAAGGCTGAAAATGAGAGGCAAGTGTTACCCTTGCTGAATGACTTACTCAGTTTAAATCAGTTGATCAAGTTTTGTTTCTTTAATTTTGGTGTACCTATTAATATACTGTCTTTTTGTGTAGTGAAACAACTGGATATTCTAAAAATCAGTGAAGGTAGCCAGAGCTCATGGCTTGCTCTGCAGTGAAGGATGGATGCCCAGGGAGCCTCTCCATTCAGCGTTCCTGTAACACTTTTCCTAATGCTCCAGATTTAGCATTGTGGTACTCTGGCAATCATTTTTGTGTGATGTTCAGTGAACTGGGAAGGGAGGAAAAAGCCAAATTGGATCAAACATAGATAATTTCACAGGCTTAATGTTCTCAAAGAAAGGGATCTGAGGATTCTAACAATTTCTCGAGCTGTGGAGTTTGGTTACTCATTGTGATCATGAGAATGCTTTGGGTTTCAGATATCCTGCACCCTGGTTAGAAGCTGCTTGTTACTGTATGTTGAGTTAGGGGGTCTTGGACATACTTAGTTGCAGGCTTCAGTGTAAAACAGCTTAATCTTGTAGTTTAGAGAACTGAAAAGATTTTGGCAAAGCCTGTCCATTGTTTAGTGCTTGAAACGGGGGGAAATAATTAGCTCCATTTTAGAACTTCAATTCTCCATACTCAGCTTACATTAGCTTTAACATTGCCTGGGGTTTTTGTTTTTGCTTTTTTGTAATTACAAGAAAGTGGTTTTAAATATCAAAAATTAAGACTCAAAAATCTCAAAAGATTATTCAGCAAGTCATCGGTAGGATTAAAATAGGAACCTGAACAATTATGTCCGTCCACCCCCCGCCCCACCTTTTTAAGGTAACAAGTGTATTCTTTGCCTCCAACCACCTTTACAATCCACTCCAGGGTTGATTCTGTACCCACCACTCCAGGGACTACTGATGGCTTTCTCATGGGGAATTCCAGAGCCCTCAATTTTTTCATTCAGCCCCTCAACAGCACTTGATATTATGGATAGTATCTTCAAATATTCTTGGCTGATAACACTGCAGCTTCTAGGCTTTCCTATCTCAGACGCTCACTGGCCAGGGTCATCTTTGGCCCTCTTCCTGGGCCATCTCCATTCCCACCATCCCAGATACTATCTAAAATAAGCTGGCATCTCTCAAGTCTATCTTCCAGAGCTTTTTATCAGGGTGCTGGCAGGAAATAGATGACTTACTGAAAATGGATAATTTGAGGAAAGCTTAATAAAGGGAGTTTACAAAGCTGTGCACAGGGTGTGGGGAAATCCCAGGGAAGAATACAGTTCTGAGGCCCAGTAACACTGGGACTGGTAGTATTGGGGTGCTTTACCACCTTTAGGTCTGAAAGGTTGAAGGGAGGAAGTGGTTAATGGAACCAGGAGACCAGCTATGTAGACAGGGTGGGAGACTGGGAAGCAGCAGGAATACATCCTCCTGTCACTTTCCAGATTGACCAACTCACATTATTAGTGCCTTCACACATACTGTTTGGTCCCCCTGACCCATTTCCCCACCACCACCTAGCTAGGCATCACCTACTCACCTTTCAGATTTCCTGTCAGTACCACTTGGGGAAGCCTTCCAGAGCAGCCACTGTACCCCCCCATCACTCATAATTACATGCTGAGTAGGTTCCATGAAAGCTGGAACTATTTTTCTCACCACTATTGCTCCCAGAGTTTAGCACAGTGATTACTATTATGTAAATAGCACAATACATATTTATTGATTATAATTTTGTATTTTCAGAAGTTCATAGAAGAGTTGAATTTATGCTAATGGTCTGTTTTTTAAAAAATTATTTTAGAGCACACGTGGGGAAGGGGGAGGGGCAGAGGGAGAGGGAGAAGCAGACTCCCAACTGAACAGGGAACCCTATGCGGGGCTGGATGCCAGCACCTGGAGATCATGACCGGAGTCGAAGGCAGAGGCCCGACCGACTGAGCCACACAGGTGCCCCTATGCTAATGGTCTCGATGAATTTCAAGAATTAAAAATACACTAAAGTTGAAAGGGCAGTACAATAGAATAACTTTTCCCTAGATCCGCCAACTGTTAATATTTTACCACATGTACTTTAATTTGTTTTGCTGAATCATTTGAAAGTAAGTTGTGACAACATGGT